CATGTATTCCCAGGGGTTGTTCAAAGTTTGAATGATTCACACACATCCATGGGTGGGCAACTGCAGCCGGTGCATGGTGGGCCAATTGTGTCACTGTTTCTCTGTGTCATGATAGATCTCAATTGAGCGGCGGCAGCCGGCCTAAGGGCCAGCGCGCAGCAGCGCTCGCTGCTGCATGGCTCCCCATGCGCTGGGGGCCCTCCCTCCGGGGGCCTACGAGGCAGGAAGCTAGCCAGCCAGAAAACCGGCGCTCCCTGCCCATGGCTTCCTGTGCACTGGAAGCCCTCCTTCTGGGGAACTACAAGGCCGGGAGTGAGCCGCCGGTCTGAAGACCGGCGCTCCCCGCCCGAGTCTCCCCGTGCGCCCGGGACCCTCCTTCCGGGAGCCTATGAGGCAGGAAGCTAGCCAGTCAGAAGACCGGCGCTCCCCGCTCGTGGCTCCCTGTGCGCCGGAAGCCCTCCTTCCGGGGGCCTACGAGGCCGGGAGTGAGCCGCCGGTCCAAAGACCGGCACTCCCCGCCCAAGGCTCCACATGCACTCATGTGTTTAATTTAATTGACAGATCCTATATTTTAACTAGCTCAGGAGTAAAAAGGGAAGTTTCCACAACAGAATCAACAGCAGGCAAATGAGCAGGAGAGCAAAAACAATACATAAACTTGCAAACAACTGAATGATTACTATGGGTGAAACAAGAGTAAATTCTAAATAATTACAGCAAGCATATCAAGTGTAGCTGATGGGTATATTTTAGTAAAATTTAGATATATATTTTTACCAAGTTACATCTTAAAAAATAGGAGAATTATGAATCACAATAACCACAATTCAGTCTGTACAACTAAATGTATACACCATGTCAAATCTCTATACCAAACCATGTATAAGCAGTCCATCACTGTAACAAAACAGCTGAGACAACCAACTCAATAAAGGAAAGGGCTTATTTTACATCATGGCTTCAGAGGTTCAACTCACAGTCACTGGGCCCTGCTGCTTTGGGCCTGTGGTGGCACTGTACATCATAGTGGAAGCATGTGGCAGAGGAGGCCAGCACCTCCAGCAGCCAGGAAGCAAAGAGAGCGGCAGGGGGTAGGGTCCTAATATCCCCTTCCAGGCCACACCCCCAGTGATCTCACTTCCTCCCACAAGGCCCCACCCCCTCCATGGCCTTACAGAAGTGCCAAGCTGGGGACCAGGCCTTCAGTAAATGGGCCTTTAGAGATGTTCCAGATCCAAATATAACATCCCACCTTCAGAGATTTTGAGTAGTAATAAAACCTCCCCAAAACACAAATAATGATGTAAGGGTTAATAAGATTGTAAGATAATTTCAGGCAATTTATAATTACTCTTTAAATAACTACCATAAACAGTGTGTCAGTATGAATTTGACAGGCCTGGAGGTTGACCCAGACTTTAAGGAATGCCTAGGGTTTACAAACCTTTAAGTAAGAGTCTGGGCACAATGGAAAGGTGCAAGCCAAATCTCAGAGATAAGACAATTTAAGGAACGTTAAGGATGTGTGGAATGACCCCGTGTGGCTGAACAGTGTCCTGTGAAAGGAACGGAAAGGAGATGGGAGGGAGGCTGGAGTCAGCCCGTGGAAGCTCTTACTGACAAGGTCAAACTTTAGATGACATCCTGAGCAAATCATTTGCATCAGGATTTGCCAAATTCTTTTGATCAGGGATGTTATTAAAATGAATATTAATTTAAGGAAATTATTTCATGAGTTATTCATGAAAATATGTTTCCTATGGGTAACTTGGGGATAGTTCAACAGTTGCTTCATCCTACTACCATCCTAACCTCAAAAACTCATTCCTCTGGTCTGATCAGAGTATCCTCTCATTTTCTTAAAGAAAGAACCTACATAAAATACTAAAAATATGAAAAAATAAAATCAGAAAATGGTGAATTTCAAATGCTAGGACTGCAAGAAAACCTATTAAGGAAAGAAGATAGCATTTTAAAATGCAAGCTTCAGTATCAAGGAATCATTTCAACAGTGTGCATTTTCCCTGGTAATATAATCCATCCAGGAAGATTTTTCATGATGTGAAAATAAAGTTGTTATACACTATATTTATACAAGTGACAGATACATTCTTTGAAGGAAGATGATAGATTTTTTTTATCAGTAATGAATTAATTGTCTTTTAGATTGAAGAACATTTGCTGTCTTTGCAAGCAACCTACAAAGATGTTCTTAGTGAAAGACAACTGTTAGCAAATCGGAGAAAACTGGCCACCAAACGCCTGCAGTGTGCATCTGTCCTGCTGACTGTCCTGGGAGATGAGAAGGCATGGTTTCCCTTGGCTTCCAGTGGCTTCCCTATGCTTCCTGTAGCTTCCCTTGGGTTCCCATGGCTTTGCATCTCCCACATTGCCCATTGCTAGGCAGCAGACCCCAAGGTGTTACTCCCCTGCAGGCTGTATTGTACACCTGTTAAAACTCATTCACTAGCCCACTTCTTATTGAGATCAAGAAAAAGTCTTATTCACCTAGAGTAAAGAAGTCCTGCTCCGGTAGTCTTAAATCAGAAGCAAACCAATCATAAGAGCTGAGGCTTTTTCTCTTGTTCCCAAAACATCAGCACTATTGTTGTGTAATGATCCCTGCAGTAGACCTTTCCAAGATGTGCCCGAGTTTCCTTCTGGAGCATGGAAACATCCTGAGCTGAGTATACAAAACATGAACACTTGGGCATAGGGAGCAGAGACAGACCGTGTCATTAAGAAGGGAAAGGAAAATTTCATTTTGTTCTACCAGTCTTCTGACCCATTTTATTTCTCTCACTTTAAATTTCTCCTCTAGTCCATCTGCTTTCTCTGTATTGGATCCCTGATAAGCTGGCTAGAATCTTGGTTTAGTTATACCTCAACTGTATACCTCAAGGGGATTATAAAATCCTCAAGATAATTTTTCATTTCAATTTACTTTGATGATATAAATAAATCAGTATCATGGAAGACTTATACAGGGCAGGGTACCAGTCCATGAGTGATGATGGCCTTTAGAAGTGGGTTGATGTCTCAAGAGCAACATGACAGAGAACCAGGGGACATCCTGGCTCCAGAGCTAGGGCTCTCACTGCCCCCTCAAGCACACACATGACTGAGGATGGAGGCACCTCCTCAGGTCCCCAGTGCTCCTAGAAGCTCTACTGTCTCCATCGAGCTGCTTAGCTTCTGGATCTTCAGATGAATCAGACTTTACTAGACAGTGCTGAGGGTGTCAAAGCCTTCCAAAGTCAAGGGGCTGGGAGATGGGTAAGGATGTAATAAATATTGGTCATTATTGTTGTCATTATTATCGAACATCATTAGTAATATAGTAGATTGATATTTTAAAAGTCATCCTGCTTTGTTACACAAGAATTAGAAATGGCTTAAAATCTTCCTTAAAAAATAGGACACATGACAAACTGAAGAACAGAGCTGGTACTCCTCCCCAGAACAGTTCCTTTTGGAATCCTGCCTATACTTAACTTTTATGCAACTACAGCTTAGAACAGTAATAGTAATAACATGGATAGATCCACCACGGAGACCATCAATTTTTAAAATGTCTTGTACTGTAACTTACATTGAGTAACCACTTTTTAATTCTGCATATAGACGCGGTGGCAGGCAGCAGTCAGTGGCATAGACCGCAGGCTGGATGGGGTCCTGGGTGATGCCCTGCTGTCTGCAGCCTGCATTGTCTACAGCGGGGTCCTCACACCAGAGTTTCGCCAGCTCATCGTGAACTCCTGGGAGAATTTTTGCATTAAAAACAACATTTCTTTGTCTTCCAACTTCTCCTTTATTGAAGTGATGGCACAAAAAACTGAGGTAGGAACATATTTCTGTTACCTACTGTCTATTTTTATTGACTGGATTGGGGGGGTGTATGCAGTTTTGGGCTTGGATCATTCTCTGAGATTATTTTGATAAATGAAAATATTGAAGTTTACATTAGGCCTTAATTCATTTTTTATAACTGATAGCTCTAGGGTCTCAGTTATCTCTTCCTGTTTTTCACCCTCGGAGTATTATTCACAAAACCCTCTCTTTCTCATTCTAACCCTGTTCCCTGCCCTAGGGAGCAAAAGCAGCCCCCCACTTCCTTTCATTAATAAAATCAGTGAGCTTATTGAACCACAAAGAGCGTTCATAGCCACAGCCAAAACATATAGACTTAGATTATTCATCGATAGTTTACTGTCTACTTATGTAAATCTTATGTTGATGTTTAGAAGATTTTTTAAAAATGCACCTGCTTTTCTCAATGCTCATAGAATAAATTGGCTCCCTCATTGATAACTTTACTTAAATGGACCATCCAACTTATGAAATCTTAGAAACAAATTCTGGTTTCTCATTCTCATAATGCTGATGGCTAATTTAAACCCAGCTATATCAATAAGTACATTAGATATAAATAGACTATATGCACCAACTTAAAATCATAAGGCTGTATAATTGTATAAACCAAAGCACAGAACAGAAGTCACATGACTTAGTAGGACACATCTAAAAGGTGAGAATAAAAAAAAAAGGGAGAAAATTTACCATCAATTACAAAAAAAAAGACAAACTTTGAGACAAAGAGAAGGACTAGCAGAATTAAATAACCTTACTTTACAGTAAAAACTGGTTTAATTCTCCAAGAATATATTAACAATTCTAAATTTGTACATGGTAATATGGTCTCATGTATTCAAAATTCATTTAAGGAGTTGCAGAAGAAAAAAAACCCAGATTTTAACACCTTCCTGCAAATCAGAACAGGCACACAAAAGTGAGAACAGAGGAGATTTGAACAAGGTGACTCCAAGGGGGCTTTAGGAATCACATGATGCAGCTGCCCCTGCAGCTGAGCAGCCACCAGGCACAGACGACCCTGACCACAGGAGACTGTCAGCCAGGTTGAATTCATGGCAAAGACATGAGACTACTCAAAGAACATCATCCAACAAAAATGCAGTACAGCTAGAAGTCAGTCATCAGGATACTTTGCAAATCCTCCCATTTTTGGAAATTAGAAAATATATTCATAAATAACCGTAGATCAAAGAAGAAATCAGAATTGAAAAATGATGCCTTGGTGAAAGGTTTTCCTTCCAGACTGGTGTATGACAAGGGATGCACTGCTGAGAGGACAGAAAGGTTCTAGGGTCAGGAAGGAGGAGAGAAAATGCACATTTTTGAATCTGGTGTGTGGTTTAAAATCCGAGAAAATCTATAGGAATATCATTAGAATTAATAAAAATTTAGCAAAGTTTCCAGAATAAGTCAATATACAAAACTCAACTACATTTCTCTCCAAGAAGTGTGCAGTGTTTTCAAATACCATTTATTAGTGCATCAAAATGACTTTTTAAAATATATGCAGAACTTATACAAAGAAACCAGAAAGTACTGCTGAAAATTTAAGACATTTAAATTGAAAGTTATGCCAAATTTGTGACTTGGTAAACTCAATATTCTAAAGCTGCCCGTTCTTTCTAATTTGATTTATTGATCCAATGGGACCCCAGTCAACACCCCAACAGAAATGTGTGTCCTGAAAAGTTGATTTTAAAAGTTATCCAAGAAAAGTGAAGTCTTGAAAGACAATGCTGATGAACAACTATTATCAAGATATGAAGTGTCAAGATTGACTTTAGAGCTGTGTGATCAGGACTGTGGTAATGTTTAATATGCATATGCCAACACAAGAATAAAGAACCACAGCAGTGGAGTAGAGTCCAGAGCCCAGAACAGACTCACATGTGCAGGGACATTTGGTGTATGACACGGATGATGCCACAGTGCAGAATGGGTGGTCTCTTTGATAAAAGGTCCCAGGTAATTGTGCATTTTTAAAGGAAATCTGACGGCTACTTCATACCACATATAAAAATTAATTGCAGTTAAATTTGATTGCTAAATGTGCAACACAAATTAATGAAACACAATTTAGGAGAACATATGCATGACCCTAGGTTGAGAAAGATCTTTTAAAGTGCAGGGAACCAAGGGGGAAGAGGGAAATAGAGTACACGCCAGCTACCAGGTCCTGATGACCTCGATGAACATGGTCATTATATGCCACAATGTAAACTGAGATTAACGATGTCAGCAAGAACGAACAGGGTGAAAGGGCTAGAGGAGGAGGGAAGGAGGAGAGGGAAAGGGACTTAAAAAAGAAACTGGCTGTGGTACGTACATGACTGTAAAGATGCAGTCTTTACAGATGACTGCAAAATGCAAGATGGCTGTAAAATTCATGTACTGCAAATATGTAGTAATAAAATCTTTTAAACAACAGTTTGAAAAAACAAAGTAACTATAAAGGAAAAATGTGATAAATTTAATTACATTAAAATTTAGACCTGTTCATCAAAAGATGCTATTGGGAGGATGTAAAGAAAGACAAGCCAAAGAGGAGAGGATTGTTTAGAGTACATATTTTAAACCAAAAGCTCTACCCAGAATAAAAAAAAAAAAAAAAAAAAAAAAAAAAAAAACCTGCTAGAAGTCAACAAGAAAATAAATAAGTAAAACCCTGTAGATGCATGGAGAAGAACACTGATATTAGCTGCTAGTGTTACAAGCACACAACTGTATGGCCCATCACTCCAGTTCTAGTGTTTTACCTTAAAGAAATGCATGGATAACTAGATCAATAAAAATGCAGAAGAATGCTCACCCTAACACATTCCTGGGAGCCAACTCTTGGAGCCATCCAGCACCCTTACTTAGGGAACAGGTCCCTAAGTCTTGGATGTGCGTATAGTTGCTGCTCTACAGCCCCATGAAGGTGAAATACCATACACAGCAAGAGCAAAGCAAAGGCACAAAAATGGTGTAAGAGTTTATTAACCTCAAGCTCAAAAATTAAGCAAAGCTGAACTGTAGTATTTAGTCACACGTACGTAGAGAGGATATAATGTATAACATCAGAAGAACAATTTGTTTTTGAATCTGGGCCCAAGGATCCATCTCTCACCCACTGACCTCCATATGCTGTGTCAAAGGCCATCCATATCACAGCTGCAGGAGTGCCCATCTCTACAGCATTCTCATCCATTTCCACGTTTCCTTTGATGTAGAATTAAAGACTACACCATTCTTCATTGGTGTAAACAAAAGCTCTTTGTTCCATTCTAGAACTGAAAGATGCCCTACGCATCTCCCAGGGAGGCCCTTCCTTTCCTAGAGGTTCCCTGGCTATTACAACAAAAATTACACATCCAAGTTCCTTAGTCCTTTAAAGACTGTTTCCTTTCCTAAAGGCAGGGACCCTGTAGTACCCTTGCCCATGCTGTAGGATGCTAAAGATGTGACACCGTTGTGAGCAGTGACAGCTCCCATACTTCTGCCCAGGTCCGCAGGTGGTACAGCCAGGGGCTGCCCCTTGGGAGGTGGTCCACAGAGAACGCCATCCTGATGAGGAATGGACAGCAGTGGCCACTGCTGATCGACCCACACAGGCAGGCGCTCACCTGGATCCGCCAAGTGGAGGGGCCCCAGCTGCAGGAGCTCTCCACAGAGGATAGCCTCCTCCCCAAGAAGCTGGAGAATGCCATGAAGATGGGGTCGAGTGTGCTTCTGCAGGTACTGGGGCCATAGGACCAAGCACCCCACTCCCAGCAACACTGAGCAGAAGGATAAGTGTTAAGTGACAGGTCACACTTCCAGACAAAAAAATGTACACACATGTGTGCTCACATGTATGCACATAGAACACACATGTACATGCATTCAAACAGGTGTGTGTGCATGCATTCAGTGTATATATATATATACATATATATAGGTGCACATGCATGCAAACACACATGCACATATATACATAAATATATACATGCATACACATGCACAGATATAGCACATATATACATGCACACACAATATAACAATGTACACATGTATGCATACTCACATCCATATGCATATATGCATAAATGCCCATATACACATACATACACAAGTACATACATAACCCACCCATGCATGAATATCTACACATGCATACACATAATATATACATGCACATACACACATACACATGCACACTTTTAGATACATACATACCCACACATAGTACACATAAGACATATGCAGGGGCTGGGGATTTAGCTTGGGGCTGGGGATTTAGCTCAGCGGCAAAAGCGCCTGCCTGGCAAGCGCAAGGTCGTGAGTTTGGTTCCCGGTACCGGAGAAAAACCAAAAAAAAAAAAAAAAAAAAAAAAAAAAAAAAAAAAAAAAAAAAAAAAAAAAAAAAAAAAAAAAAAAAAAAGACATATGCACACATGCACACACACAGTGAGTTTTCAGTGTTAAATCAGCTCTCTTTCATTGGTATCTAGGTACTTAATAAGACTTAAATGTGGGGCTGGGGATGTGGCACAGAGGTAGAGTGCTTGCCTTGGGTGTACAAGGCCCTGGGTTCAATCTCCAGCACCAAAAAGAAAGGAAAAAAAAATTTAAATGTGTCTTCCAGCCAATTTATTTAAGATGATTTTTCTTATCTCTTTTTTCCCCAGATTCTCTCTGAAACACTTTCTCCAGTCTTAAAGGCAACTTTGAAGAAGGATATCTATCAGAAAAGAGGGCAGTATTTTATAAGAATTGATGATTCTGAGATTGAATATAATTCCCAATTCAGGTAATGTCTTTCCCAGTCAAACTGAGTCAGATTTTTGTGTTTCTTAAGACCCACAGTCTTGAAGGCCTCCTGTCTGGGCCCGATGAGCTCCTTCATGGTGAAAGGAGACCGCCCTGCCCTGCACCCGCTGAGCTCTCCTGGGTGCAGAGTGGGGAGGGGATGTTACTTGCTGAGTTGCAGTGAGCTCCTGAGGTGCTTCTACAAGAGGCCGGGCCTGCCAGGCTGGGAGCTTGGCTTGAGCTGCGTGTCTAACGGTGTTTGGGCAGGACCAGCTTCTGCTGCTTTAAAAAATAAGATTCATAGTCTATATCCACAGCAGAAGGAAATTTTGCCTAGGGAGGTGAAAATCTGGTGTCTGTGTTCCCAGCAGGAAGTGGCCAGCCTCACAAAGGACTGTGACACCTTGTCACACATCTGAGTCCCGAGGAAAAGCGACATTTGTGCTGTGTTCCCAGGCACTGTCCTTGATAGGCAGGGTCTTTCCTTACCAGTTCTTATTCCCTAGGATCCTCTCTCCTAGCCTCCTTCTTTCTGTTAATAAGACATTTTCCGAAGTACGTTCCTCAAAACAGCATTTCAAGGATGTAATAAATGTCCCTCAAAACTACTATCACTAGTTTATGAAAGCAGTGGGTTAAACAAAGTCCAAAAGTCTTCCCTGCAGGGCTGCAAACCCTTTCTTCCTGGACCCCGCTGTGGTGTTGCGCACAGTGGCTCTGTTGGGGACACCCTGCTAACCCACCCTCCTCCCTCCCGGGGGCGCATGGTCACGGAAACCCCAGTTCTAGAGTCACTCATGAAGCTGCATTTTCCTGAGCTGACAACCAGGTCCCCACATTAGAAATGCACATGCTGAAGGGGTGGAAAAGGACGCTGCTGTGGAAGACACGACCCCCATTCTTTCACTTCTGTCCATGTCATGGTGGTAGCTCATTTAGCTTTTCTGAGCTTCAATTCCCTCTTTATAAATGGAATGAAGATTTGTCCCTGCTTTATTTGATCACTAGAACGAAAAGAGATCCGGAAGTGGACCTCTCCTCAGCATCCCACTGGCCTCTCCAGACCCCGAGCCACCCTCTTGTCTCCCACCCCAAACAACCCAATCTTGCCCCCTCTGCTCCACCCAGCAGCTCTATAGGCAGAAGCCAGAGGGGTCAGATTTAAAATACTATATCTCTCCGCTGCCCCATGCCCGCTGCCATCTCACCTGCTCCGGGTGGAAGCTAGGGTCTCCCAATGACCAGCAGGTCAAAACCTCCATTTAGCATTCTTCTTCCTCCTGCCCTCATACTTGAACCATATATAGCATGAACAAATTTTATGGTTGTAGTTTTTGAAGTCTTAAATGCCAAACTTTTCACATACTGTAAGTTGAGAACCTACTTGTGTGCAAGGCTGAATAACACTAAACATTAACCTTGTTCACCTGAAGGAAAAATACATTCTGCATTACTGGATAAATTGTTTCTGTTTTTCCCTTTGTGTGTTCTTTGAACAATTGGTGTCTTTCTCATGTTTAGGTTATACTTATCTACAGAAATAGACAATCCTCATTTTCTGCCATCAGTGTACAACTTTGTTACTATGATCAACTTTACGGTAACATTCCAAGGCTTGCAAGACCAGCTCTTATCCACTGTAGTGAGTCATGAAGTGCCTCATTTAGAAGCGCGGCACGCTCAGTTGCTGGAGCAGAGTGCCCTTGATGCAATAACACTTGAAGAACTGGAGGAGAAAACACTGAACTTACTGCAGAATTCCCAGGGTAAGTGGGGATGTCTTGCGATACTAAGAGACTTGTGTGAAGATCAGAATAAAAAGCTCTCAGCATCTTATTCTTATTGGGACCCAAAGTACCGGATTTCCATTTCTGCCAGATAATTGAGCAACACTGGTGAGCCTGGGCTCTGAGAACTGCAACGTTCCTCCGTTCTCACTATGCGTTGGCTCATTGCCTCCTAGGATGCTTGCTTCCCACACGTGATCTAAGTTCTAAGTGAAACCTGAGAGAAAGGCTGATGGGAAGCTCTGTGCCTGTGTGTCCCATGCCTGACACTGGCCGCAAGTCTCCCACACAGCACAGAGACAAAGGAGCAGGTTCTCCTGTGTATTAGCAGGAAAAGGTCTTTTCCAAAGAAATGACCCAGTGACTTTTATGTATAACACTAAAATATGCTCATTTTTTAAAGAAACAGATGTAGAAACTGTTTTTCTCTTTACTGTCAGAACTGTCTCAGAAATCATAGTCTTTATAGCAACTAACTTAAATTTAGCTTAAGTTCCTGGGTCACACAGATATATCTGCTCCTAATGCAATTGAAATAAAATACAACAGTCCCTAACAATGGATCACTTTTCTGTTTTAACTTGTGACTTAGTGGGACTTTAAAGTTTCCCATGTAACTTTGATTCTCAATTAAGGTTATATATAGGAATACTCTATAGATTTTATTACTTTTTTTTCTTTTTTCCATACAAATCCAATGAGTTCCACCACAGACTTAACTGAACCTGAACTTCTTCAGCTGGGCCCTGACTTGTGCTTACTTTGAAGCTGTCTATGCAGTGCTGATATTCACTATCAATTCGATATCCGTCCGATTAGAAGGCTCATGGTCTGGGGTGTGAGCCCATGTGACCAGCCGCTTTACTAAGATAGACTGAAAATCAAACATTCATAAATAAATAAGATTATAGTGTTTTGACAAGACAAGAAACAGAAAAGTTGGCAGGGCACAAAGCAGCCTTTGCCAGGAACAGTGCCAACTATTTTCAGATTCCACAGGACCGGGGAACTGAAGCCATGGGTGCTGGCCCCTGCAGTACATTTGTATAAAAAAAAAAAAAAAAAGAGGTTTATTTAGATCCCAGGCAGAAGACTGCAGGAGAGGGAGAAATCACCTTGCTCTCACAACTACTGGCTCTTGAGTGAGCCCAGGTCCCTGCTGCTTCCCAGGACCTAAGGCCCCCAAGCCCTGCCTCAAGGACTCACCATTCCTTGGCACCACTACCCTGGGACCCAGACTTTTCGGGCGCAGTCCTGCAATCACTACACCATTCACCTTGACCCAGCTCTGAGAAGAGATACATGTTAAGTGGAGAAGTTTTCCAAAGAAAGGAAGTCTGTACTTCAGCTTTTAAAACCATATTTACAAGGGGAAAAAAAAGAAAAAGAGCTCAAAGTGCATTTTATCTTATGTTAGAAATTCAGGCAAATCTTCCAGTAAACGTGCATTTGTTTACTATGAAATCTTAAACACATATTTACCCTGGGAGGATCTTTGTTCCTTTTCTGTTTTTTGTACCTGACAACTAGTTTCTTTATAGCACAGGAAAGAGCTGGCTTCTCTTGGTGACAAGACACATGGTCAGGTGGATACATGCAGTCACATGGGCCCATGGTCACACAACAGGTAGTGACAAGACACGTGGGCGCATGGACAGCCAGCTGATTCCTCTTAGGAGACTGCAGCTGTGCCCGGGAATCTCCTACATCACACACACATGAGGGCCCGGAGACGTAGCCACACTCTCATCTTGGGCCATTGTGTAACAAATGTCATAGTTTGTTATAATCTTTGTACAAATTGGACAAAAAATGGTCTTACTGAGACTGCTAAAGATGGCACACATCAGAAGTGTCTGTGCTTTTACTCTGCTCTGGTGTTTATACCTGATTCTTCCATGGGTTAGAGTTTAAGGTATTTTTAAAAGACCATAACTTTTAGCTAACAGTGACTTTAATAAGAAATTTTTCTTGAAAACTCTTAACTAAATAAAGGCTCTTTGGCCTGTGGGTAAAACCATGCTTCCCATGTAGGAGACCTTGGCTTCGATCCCTAGGACAAACAAAACAAAACAACAACCAAAAAAAATCCTCCTTGATTTTAGAGAAATTTTTCCTCCTTCTTTCCAAGTTTTAGTAAAACTGATCATTGTCATTGCCTCTATGGAAATATTTTATTTTTTGTGACTCCCCGTAGCAAAACTTGGTGGGAAACCATGAGCTGGAGTGTGGGTGTGAGAGGTGGCCTGCAGCTTGGCGGCAGACGCTGCTTAACAAGCAGTCAGACCCGAGACCTCATTAGCCCACTGCTTGCCGCCGTGGCCACATCGAGCTGAAATGCTGTGCTTGGCTCTGGGTGCCACATTTTAAGAAGGCTTTTTTCCAAATAAAGTCTGTCCAGAGGTGTGCATTGAGGGTGGTGTGAGAGTTCTGAAAGTCCCAGCATAAGCAAAAGGCAAATGAGGAAAATAAGAGAATGTTTAGCCCACAGGATAGAAGAGTTTATAATGGAAATTTAAGAGCTGCCTCAAAAATTTAAAGAGGTAGAATTATTATGTGTTTCTAGAGCAGTGGTTTTTCAAAGGATGACTTGCAACCTGTTACTGGTTGAAAAATTCATACCGCTGGACATCGTCAGTTGTATTTGTTTAACAGAATAGAATACCAAATATCAGAGTCTGTCCATGAAGTAAGAGTATGCTTGTTATTCTCTGGAAACATCACTTTAATATCCCAGTAGCCAGTGGTCACAGTGCAGACGTATTCCCTATGTTGGACTGGTTACTTGTGATGTGCCTCTAATAGAAATGGGATCCACAAAAAACAAAAGTGATGTGGAGAATATGTGGGAGTGGGAAGTGCAGCCTTCCAGCTGTTAATCTCATCTCTCAGAAACAAAACTGTCTCCTTGGAACCCATCTCCAACACAAAACCAACACAAAGCCCACAGGAAAAACTCTTACACAGAGACAGGGTGTAGTAACAGCTATTCAGTATCATGCAGTCTTTACCTAGATTTACTTTGTTCACTGTTTGTCTTTAGGATGCGTATTAGATGATGAGGAAATTATAGATACCTTAAGAAAATGCAAAATGACTTCAAATGAAATTGCAAAACGCATCGAAGCAACAGAGAAAGCAGAAAGTGAAATCCAAGCCACCCGCGAGAAGTACCTGCCCATTGCCACGCGGGGTGTCCTGCTGTACTTCCTGGTGGCCGGCCTGGCCCGGGTGGACCACATGTACCAGTTCTCCCTGGGCTGGTTTCGCCAGGTCTTTGTGTCCTCAGTAGTTTCCAAACACAAAGAGCAAGAGCATGAGCATGGCTTGAAAAGGGAGAAGATATCTCTGAATAAACTTAATGGGATTAAAAATATCTCAGAAGGACCTAACTTGGAAAGTGAGAAAAATGCCTTTGACAGGCATAATAAAAATGCAATAGATGCACTGACAAGAAATATTTTTAAGGTGAGAGTTGTTCCTTAATGCAAAAATCTGCATATTTAAGCTAGCTGTGTTGGAATAACACTTGTATTTTCTTGGTAGGTGGTTTCTCCAGCTCTGTTCAACCAACATAAACTCTGCTTCTCCTTCCGGCTTTGTACTACAATCATGCAAAATAATGCTGATGGGAACCTCAGGCCTGATGGCATTGGGTTCCTACCAGAGGAAGAGTGGAACCTCTTTCTATATTCCAGCATCCTGATAAACATTGAAAATATTCTCTCCAAGCCAAGACTTGATCGTAAGTAAAAGCAACTTCACTAAACGTAGTAGAAGCCCATTAAAAACACATTTCTATGTAAAAATACTGAACTATCCCTGAGGTCCTCCCAGTCATTGCTGCAATAACTGATGAAAGCAAAAGTACCTTACGGCCAATCACAGTGTCTGGCTCCTCACTGTTCTCCAGCAATGTTAAACACATAACCAGCACTCAGTAACTTTTCAAAGAATGAACAAGTATGGTTATGGAAGTCCTAATCTGCACAGCAAAATATTTAGTGGCAGTCTGTGTGTTTGCAGGGATGCACATACAGCATGAATATCAAATACCATCAGAGTTGAACCCTAGTGTTCCTATATACTATTGACTTCAATTTCTTATGAAAATCCCTTGAAAATTTGAGCCACAAAAGGATATTTAGCCAAAAACCTTAGGGAAAATCACTTAAGAATTAAATATTCTCACATACTCCTGTGCTGTATATTTTAAAATATATTTTTAGTTGTAATCAAGTATACATAGCTTTATCTACCATTTTAATCATTTGTAAGTACTCACTTAAGTAGCATTAAATATATTCAGACTCTTATGCTGTGTTGTACATTTTAAATCACACAAATAAGAAATTTAGGCGCCCAGGCAGCCAGTTCTCCGGGAGCGGCAGGGCTCCTGGGTCCGAGTGTGGGCCGGACTCATA